TATCGAATATTTATCTTCTTCTCGGTTTACTCGAATATCGAATATTTATCTTCTTATCAGTTTACTCGAATACGCGTCAGAGCGCGCCCCAGCAATTTTGCTTGGACCGCTCAGAGTGCTTTTAGGAGAAGTTGGCTTAATTTCCTGTTTTTTTTCTTTTAATTGCAATTGATTCAGGTACCAGAGTTTGTTTTGACTCGAGGAAAGGTGGGTGAAACCTAATGGCCTTTCTTTTCTATTCTCTTTTCTGAATCAGGATAGAAATGAGCAAAAAGCGAGGGGGCCTTGTTCAGGATTGTCACTTTTTCTATTTTTCGCGCTTACTTATACATGAACTTATGAAGTTTCTTCCTCCTCGGGGGGGGGGGGGGCAACTAATGCTGTGACCTGGAGAGCATTCAAACGAGCAAGACAGCAGAGAAGACATCTCTCGATGGGGGCGGAGTCACTCAAGCAACCTCGAAACTTACAGCTGATACGACATCAGTTTCTGACGTGAAACTTATACAGCGCTGTTCCATTGCAGTCCACGCTACTCTCCCTACGAGAGCTCAGATAACTATAGGTGATCGTGCGCTTTGCTCTTTGAAGAGCAAAGCCGCGATCATTCGCCATCACAGGTTGTGGATTAAGGGTCTGCATACATACGACATGCTCGGAGCAACTTGATAGTGAAGAAAAAAGCAGAAAGAACATGCCATTCGCTTCCAGATAGAACCCATTTCGACCCCATTTGTACGTGCCCAAATAACATCAACATTACGCCCAATTAACATCAACATGACGCCCCCGTCCGATTCCCGATGAGAATTCTGCGACCGACAAGTGAGACGTTCATCTTGTTTCTCCGTTCTACAGCTTCGTTTTTTCCACTGAAAAGCGGATCTTAAAGGCGGAGCCTGGAGGAGGAGTCACTGGAGAAGGTAGGCGTCACTGAACCTATATTGTGCTATAGCGCCCGTCCGTTCGTCGCGGATCACGCTACCGTCCCGACCCCATACTTTAATTTCTATACTTGATCCTGGACCGTGCCTCTAAATAGCCATTCCAGACGATTGAACTTCGTCTCCGATCATTGTGTATTCGTGATTTCGACCGACGCCAGAAGTAACTAGAAAGGACCGGTCCACTTGAGCCGTTCCCGCCACATTAATTGTAGGTAGATGCGCTCAAGGGTATATAAGGGTGCTCTTGAGAACGAGTTGGCTCAATGGAAGTGAAGAGATTTGGTCAATAAGATGTTGATAATGCAAAAAATAGAGTACCATTTCGTGAGTCCTCGTGCTTTACGGATAATCTTTGGACTTCAGTACAGTTTCAAGGTTTTACGCGGATGTTCGCCGAATTTCCCTATACAAGATGTGACGTGGACAGGATATGATCTTTCATCGGTCACCTTGCGAAAGCATCATGAACCTATGTCATTCCTGCAAAGACTTTGCATTTTCTTTCAAACTACAAGGCGGAGACTGGGCTATTCGTCGAACACAATACATCGCTCGCCAGTCGCTCTATAAAACGCCACTTTATGTGATTCGGTTTTGTCGCGACACTGCGCAATTAGTCATCACGGACAAGTGCGACCCAACCCTTACGAGGTTACATTTCAGCTCAAACAGCGTCCTCATATCGTTACGCCTCTTCTGTACTTCACACTGTATAGGGAGTGGCTCGATTGTCTGACGTAGACAGTCAGTACCGTACCAGGAAGTTCCTTTCGAAAACAACCGTCAGAATTCTGGTTCCCCCGCAAGGGGTGGCCTCGCTTGATTTGTCGTCAATTACTTGACTTGCGTTATCGCTCATATTGTAATAAATGTCAATTCAGGCAGTTTTCGAGTGTTCTTCACTGTTATTCGGCTATTCTTCGAAATTTCTGTGTTTCGTTTTTTTTTTATTTTTGTTCGCTGAAAATCTTGGAATAGATGTAGTACGAACAGAAGCCGTTACTGTCACTAATTTGCTCTGGAGATTGAACTCTCCGAAGGCAGTCTCACATCCTCCTCTCTTGAGGTAGATCCACCATGCCATCGCTACTGGAGCCGCATTTGGTAATGAGGTCTGTAGCTGTGCAAAACATTTTCATGACTGTTGCTTTTTCGCGCTAAATAAGGGGATGGGGGTGGTGGGCGGCGGGTGGCATGCTTAGTACGCGCGCAGTCCGAGAGTGAAATCTCGAATCGGCTCCCGTTTGTGCCAACCAAGCCTTATACCCTCTGGGTGGGTGAATTTTGATACCAGGTCTGTCCGGGACATAAGAAAGATAAGGAAAGATCAGAACACCGAGTTGCACACCGGTTGGCTCCCTCAAGTTGCGGGCCAAATCGCATTTATAACCCACTACCATTCTAAATAAAAGTAGTGCTCCATCTCAAATGGCCTATGTAAGGTGGTGGAGAAGGTGTGAGACGGTGTGTGCAGTCCCATCGGCGACAGGCAACCATTCGATTTTGCTTGGATGACTCCAATGGCTTCTATTTTGCCTTCTACCGTCTGCTGTTTTCCCCTTTCACCCGTGTACCACTTTAAGGAAGCTGTGTGGTAACTGCTTTGCTTGATAGTTGATTTCTGATATCCACCTCCTCCAACGCTCGATGACATAATTTCGGGCAAATTTGGTAGGGGCGGGGGGGGGGTGGGATGTGTAAAAAGGGTAAATAAAATGGGTTGTAAATGTACTCTCGCCCCCCCCCCTCCATTATGGAGGTCTTGGCGACACCATCGTTTCACACATCTCGTTGATATGCCCTGCAACTCGGGTTACCTGACTTGCCACATTTTCTCGCATGCAGGACGTTATCATAGTCACACTGAGGAGAATTTCCGGAATCTTCGTAGAGTGTCCTGCCTTCTGGAGCCCATTCTGTTTCTGTTATAATACTTTCGCTCCACTCCAGTAAGTCATGTCGCGGCCGCTGCAGCTTTCAGACGTCCTGTCATTTCCGTTTAGCTTCATTTGGAAATTCGATGTAGAATACCGCAGCTGTTGGCGAGAACCGGTCTTTTGCCAACAAGCACGATCACTGCTGGTAAGAATCTCAACTGCAGTTACGCTCATGACATTACACGTGACCTTGTTCCTGTTCTGGCTACTTCTTTATTCTGACGTATCTCTCCCGTATGATTTGTTAACCGTCTGGCGAGAGTACCTTGACCGCCCTTGAAAGAACCACGTTCTGTAGCGGGCCGATATTCTTCTCCAGTTGCTTTTGCAAGGTCAGACCATCGCTATTTTTTATACTACACAGGCTCCTTGCTCTCCTTAAGATTTCAAGTCCACGACTCTTCCCATCATCCACGAGCATCGTGTCATTGAACCCGCGGCTCTAGCGGCGGTGAAAATGGTGCCGAATTTTGATTCCTTGGTGCAGTCACCTTCGTTTAGAAGGATGTGGCCTCTCTATTATGACGGCGTCGAGATGGGTGGTGGGAAACGCTTGCTGTTCGCCTAACACCACCGTAACGGCATCATATTGACGTCCATTTAATGTTCGAATTTCCGTGGTATTTCGCGATTTTCTATCACAAGATCGTGTTTTGGACAGTGTCCATGATGTGTTCTCTCCTCCGGTAGGGCTCCCAGATTGGCAAACTCTCCCCTTACACCTACCTGTTCTTCCGTAATCATCAACGGTGTTACTCATCAACTATTTACGGCTGCTATATTCGAAGCTCCTCGATTCTCTTTTAATGGATCTTCGACAAGTGAATTTTGGTCACCTATATTAATGTCAAAATGAGTCATCACTCCCGTTGTAACAAACATTGGTGGGAATAGTTAAAACAGACATTAAGACATTCTCCTAGAACCGGTTCCACCCGACTGATTTTCATAGAGCTGCAGTTTTCGCTACCTTTTTTATGCATTGATTGCGATCGTTAAATTTATATAGTTTTCGGGCGCTAGTCCAATATAAGCTCGAAGTCTCATAGGTTCCTTGTCAAGACATGCCGCGTAAAATGGACTTGAAGCGGGAGGGACAAAGAAGAGTGTCAGGCACTTCGCACAAAGTGGGAAATGCTTTCTCTTGCATGAATAGATTGGTTCACCCACATAAAAGACCCTCCCATCAGTACTTAAGTGAATATTCCCTTATTTACTATTTACTGCCTACGCTGAAAATTTTGAGCCAGATTTTGGTGGAAATTTTCCTGAGCTGAACCAGCATTAGGTAGTGCGACCCTCTGAACATGAATATTGCATCCGTTTCAAGCATAAGTACCCAATGGCGAAGCCACAGGTGCCACCACCACAGGTATTTTTGGCGTCGGCATCTGTAGCGCACAGGCGTTTGCTCGCCAAGCTAGTATGATATTCGTGTCAAGGGGTCCAAGTACCCCTAAATGTTTTTGTTCCAAAATGATAGGGTTCAAGATGGTACAACATGGACCTCAGTAATGTTGGCGCATTGGGCTAGGGACCTATATTGGACTAGCCCCGTTTTTCAGTGACTGAAGTGACTCTTCTATCCATAGTCGTATCCTGGAGTTACCGGTACTTTCAGGTAAAGATGCTGGGGATGATGAATTCACCCGCGGATACCGTGGAGTTCTATGCAGCAAGGAAAAGTACGGAAGATGGCGCTGACCAAGAGGATCTGAAGGTGTTCCGAGAAGCCAAACACAAGCGGAGCGTTTCCTATACTCAAGGTTGTGACATTTCTCAACTCAACTTGTCTCTTTAACAATGGTTATGTGTGTAATTTCATCCTTTCTACAATTGCAATTGAAAGAGAGACTGCACAGATGAGCTCTGCTCAGTACTGATATTTCGTTAACCCTATGTCAGTACTTCCTCACTGGGCAAGAAGTACACCTGTACTACCATCGCTGGTTGGGACGTGAGAGTTATGAATCGCCTACGTAACATGTGTTGGCGTTAAATCAATCAGTGCACCTCGTGATCACCTGGTTTCGGTCTCGTGAGCCAGATATTGAAACAATGGAACAAACCATCTTAGCGCTTCTTCCCGTTTCATTGATGATAGAGCGACTAAAACGTGATGATGGAGTAGGCCTAGAGGACCACTTGGACGTGTTTTCGGTAAGAACGCCATAGAAGTGACGTAACTGAGCCTTGAGGGCAGTTGGCACGATGGTTTCCCCACTCGGCCTAAAATGCTAGTAGGGCGCTATGTAGTGGGGAAATGGCGAAAGAACGGAGTGAAACGGTCAAAATCCGGCGAAGAAAAAGCCTCCGTTCTCAGTGACTTGTAAATCGATTTCGGACGAGTTTCCCGTAGGCATCTTACCAATCACCGCTACCGAAGATACGGCTGCATATGTGTACCCATGTATGCATGCAGCATCACGGCCGCTTCATACCAATCCCTTCGCTTCATAATTTGCTTGAATGAATACGAGCGTCAGGAACGGTCGTCCATTTGTGGGCGGGCGGGCGAGGAAGGCGTTTGGGACGGAATGTTGTTGCTCGATAGGGCGTTATACCCTCTTGGAAAAGGGCGCCACGGAGCGCCTGTCCGAGGTCACGGAATTCTGTTAAGCCAGTCGTAGAAATCTCTGTATAGCGATTTATCATGCCAACTGCCTTTAAAGATCATGTATGTCGTCCGTCCTGTCAAGCAAGATTCCGGCTTTTGGTATAATCAGTTTATAAAATCGCAACCAGTCAGGGGCAGCGAAAGCAGCACGGTGAGAGCCCGCCTTGTCTTTAATTTTGATCACATAAGCAAGGTCAAGCTTGTCACTGAGTCATCTTCTTCGGCGCGCCCATCTTCAAGCCTACCTTAATTGAATAAGAGCGTTTGAAAGCAAGCAATGCGCTCACCTGGTGGATCGTGCGATGCGGAAGGTGAGCTATAGAACTATGTAACCTCCTTCAATAAAGATCTATCTCTGCATTCCATGCGATATTATACTGAATCGCGCAAATCTTTGGATGGTATTGGATTGATCCATTTTTGTTAGTATGCCTTTAGCATAGTGCCCAATGAACAAGAAGCTGCCTAGTTGGAGTCGATGTTTGAAACCAAAGCTGTGTACATGCAAAAAACAAGAAAGGAACAATTCAAAGTCTTTCAGGCGAATTTTCATCTCACAAAGCATACATATGTTCAGATGGGCGCAGGATGATTGACGGAAAGATTGAAGGCGGAGCAGAAACGGCTACGAATCTTTGGGAAAAAACGTTACGAATAGGAGCACTCACAACTCACATGATTGCCAGCGATGATGATTGTGAAGGGTCGGCTGACAGAAGGAGTACAGATCAAGCCAAAAGCGGTAAGTTTCAAAGATTACATGAGGCTTCGGTGCGCCGTATACCTAGATGATAGCAGTAGACATAGATGACATAGAAACGTAAATGCTGAAGGAAGAGCTTTCCTTCTTCACGTGTGAGTAGTCTGGGGCAATGTAGCGCGTGCTCATAGTGGCCCCAATTCAGTCAGTAATGATTTCTTGACCATCGCTTTCAGATTGCTCGGAAACACCAGAATGTGTAAGCCCCGTGGTTGTTTATGCGATCAATAAAAGTCTCGGAGAAGGTCTCAGTGAAGAGAGCATGAAGGCATTCACCGAAGTGAAACCCAGGCAAACTGTTACCTATACTCAAGGTCAGTACAGCCTTGTAAAAATTACGCAGAATGTCAGTGCAACATGAGGCACCGTCAAGCGTAATATTTATGTGTATTTATGGCATGTGCACATGTTGACTCACGATGTCGGGAGTATTTCATGGCGCCAAGGATGAATCAAGGTGGATGAGCATTGTTGCTGTGGAGAGCTTCAAACTCGGGGAACTTCGCGTTCTGGGAAAAACCAGCAGGGTCGTATCGGTTCGCTGGAGGGGAGGGCGGTCGTCTTTGAGCAGGAAAAAATTTCGTGACCGTCAACTTGTTTTACTCGCGGAAACCTTCGTAGTAGGCGCGACAAAACTACTGAACTACAATTCTGACTGCTTGTTGGAGCTCTGCGCCTGCCCTGGATGGCAGAATTTTTAAAACAGCTTAGATAAGCAGGGTATGAGAGTAGGTCTTAGTGTAGGGAGGGATTTAGAAAAATGTTGTATTTCGAAAACTTCTCCTCAACGCCTGGACGTACCCTGTTCAGATTCAGCACTCAAGGCTAATGGCATAGCTTGTACCTTAACGTAGTAAATCATACGGTACCTTATAAGTTAGAGTATTGCGAGTGGCTGCAGCTGAGCCACTGTTTAAAGCGAACTTCTTCCGGAATGAGGCCATCGCAGAACTTTCCATTTTGATACAGCAGATTTCGTTATGCGCACGCTTTATAAATGTGACAACCCTCGAATGAAAGACGTACAGTTGTTGCAGCAGTGACTGGCGAAAGAGAAGGGCACTTATATTGCACTTTATAATATGATCTAGGCATATGTTTGCTTTATTTCTCCAATCACGGCTACATTTCTTATGTTCTCTTAGGTGTTGTCAGTTATTTGACTGCTGTTTGAGTGCATTTATTGTCGCTTTGAGTGAATGTTTTGTGAATTTTGTTCGATTACTCAGGTGAAAGTTCCCAATAAAGTGTGTCATTCGTGTTTAGCGGAGAACAACTGCATTCCTGGGCAACAAAAAAGGAAGATAACTGCTCTATCTAGTCTAGCCGCTCCCAGTCTTGCGTTTTTCCAACGTGCTGAAAGTGTTTGCTTCCAATGACGTTTATTCTGACGTATACATTGTGTTTTTAAAGGGCTAAAGCTAGTGTCGTCCGTTTAGGCGTGAAACTTCGCAAAGACTACGCAGGTCCACGCGCTATCGTTACATCAGCGCTCCAACGTTACAGACGGGAACGCAGCCAAGCGGGTATCGATTGGCGCCGGACGCTGCTGTAAGAGAATATGGAACAGCAGGATATGCGCTGCCTAATCATCAAGTCTGGTACCCCCTGCTGTTATATATCCTCCCAGAACGCGACCAGCGCCGATCGATACTAGACAGTGTGATTAGGCAATTGCAATGGTAG